CTAATCAAATATTAGGGAATGTTAAAAAACAATTCGATGAGAAAACAGGCAGATGGATGAGCCATCTCAGTTTGGAGTTTAGAAAAGGGGCGGCCCAAAGTGTGTGTTTCTAGTGTTGTCTGGGAGACATACATGTGCCCAGATAGACACATTCATTCTCTATCTCTATCTAAATAGGCATAAAAGACAACATTCAGGAAATTATACACAAAATGTACATTTATATGCCTAATAGCTTCACAAAATAGTCAATCCTTACAAATAAGACCTAAATACACCACAAAAATAGAAGGAAAACGAACCAGCAATAATAGTGTCTAGACAACAAAGTGTCTAGACACTGCCACGGAAACATTGCTGACCAAGGAAACAGAGCCAACTGCCAGCTCCAGGCACAGAGGTGGTGTGTCTGCTTCGGGCACTTCCTCTTGTACAGTTAGCCAAGAGCAGTGGGTCGGGAGAATGCTGCTGTTAGTGTCTGGCCAACCTCCCCCACTCTGAAGCATCAGTCCTAATATCTCCAGAGAGGGAGGGAGTCAAGCAAGAAGTATATTCTGATTAAGTTCATTCAGTCAAACGGGCAGGGCTAGCACTGGGGTTTAAAATTAACAACCATTTAATACCCGTGATAAGTTTATGCTAAAGTTCAAGTATGTTGACATTGCTTAATATGTTCCTGTGTTGAGAACCATGCTTTCCTCACATGTATCTTCTCTTGGGATTATCTTTGCAAAAATGTGTATTCAGAGTTCTTCTTTCTCAAGAAAGGTGAAGTTTTTGTTGGGATTATTTCACCAGCTTTTACAGGGCTGTAAGATATTTTCAGAATTCTGAGAGCAAATGAGTTGACATAGGCATTAAACCTGTTTTTATTGATAGTGTGGATTTGTGACTATGTTCATAAGCATAATTTTGCATGTGAATATATGTAAGTATACATACTTGTAAATGCTACTGTACTTTTCTCTCAAGTTCTAAATTACAGAGTATCCTTTAATTACTTAGTCTCACAGCTCTAGACCCTTTGTTTTCATATACCATTTATTTGGATAATTCATTCTTTTGTAATCCTACTTTTTCATAAATGATATCCCTAACGCAATCTTGCAACATAATAACAATCCAGGCTCAAATGGGAAAGCCAGACTCAGTGAACAATGGATGCCATGTTTTTCCTTGAGTTGAAAATGAA